ACCGGGTCATTGGTGTACACCACCGAGAGGTCCATGAACCTTGCGTGAGTGTCCACCATGGCACGCATGGTGAACTGTTGCTCGTCGTCGGCAGTCGCTCGGAGCGCCATTGGAGCTGCGCAGGATACCCTCTAAGAATTTCTCGGGGTGGGTGTGCCTCTTGCAATGGTGGAGCACGATCGAAAGGTTGAAGAGACATAAGAGTTAAATGGCCGCTGTAATAAATGGGGGCGGTCGGCCTGTAATTGTCATGTCTTGTCACGACATTCATAGCGGAGGATTCCAAGGCACGCTTGACAACACCGCCCCACACGCGTGGGCTTGAAGAGGCGCCAAATGTATCGTCGGTGAGCCTGTTCCCGCGCTACCGTGCTGTTTACTACGCAAGCTTCCCGCCCGACTTGTTTGGCCATGCGTCGGCTAGAAGAGGGACAAATCATGGGCGTTTATTGGCAAAAAGCTTTGTAAAAACGAAGTGTGTGGAATGACTTCGATAATAAGTTTACCCATGGGTGATGAGGTCAAAGTTACACGGAAGGGTGATGATGGACACTCAAGTGCGATAAGTAATTCTGCGCTCTACAGTGCACACGGTGGAAGAAACAAACTGTGTGCAATAATGTCAAAGATCGCAGTCGAGTTAGCTATACAGATTGTGTGCTGTGAGATTGACAAGGTAAACTGATTTGAGAATGGTTAATAAAATCTAAGACCATTGCATATTAAGGTCAAAATAGGCATGTGTTGTCATTTGATGAACATGATCACATCATTAGGAGAATGGTGTGATGGACAAGACCCATCCGTTAGCTTAGCATGTTGATCGTTCAGTTTTATTGCTATTGCTTTCTTCATGACTTATACATATTCCTTTGACTATGATATTATGCAACTCCCGAATACCGGAGGAACACCTTGTGTGCTATCAAACGTCACAATGTAACTGGGTGATTATAAAGATGCTCTACAGGTGTCTCCGATGGTGTTTGTTGAGTTGGCATAGATCGAGATTAGTATTTGTCACTCCGTGTATCGGAGAGGTATCTCTGAGCCCTCTGGGTAATGCACATCACTATAAGCCTTGCAAGCTATGTGAGTAATGAGTTAGTTACGGGATGATGCATTACGGAACGAGTAAAGAGACTTGCCGGTAACGAGATTGAACTAGGTATGATGATACCCACGATCGAATCTCGGGCAAGTAACATACCGATGACAAAGGGAATGGCGTATGTTGTTATGCGGTTTGACCGATAAAGATCTTCGTAAAATATGTAGGAGCCAATATGAGCATCCAGGTTCCGATATTGGTTATTGACCGGAGATGAGTCTCGGTCATGTCTACATAGTTCTCGAATCCGTAGGGTCCGCACGCTTAACGTTCGATGACGATTTGTATTATGAGTTATGTGATTTGATGACCGAAGTTTGTTCGGAGTCCCGGATGAGATCACGGACATGATGAGGAGTCTCGAAATGGTCGAGAGGTAAAGATCAATATATTTGAAGGTTATATTCGGACACCGGAATGGTTCTGAAGTGATTCGGGTATTTTTCCGAATACCGGGAGGTTACCGGAACCCCCCCTCCCCCCGGGAAGTATTGGGCCTTAATGGGCTTTAGTGAAAAGGAGAGAAGGGCCACAAGGGGTGCCCCCCCATGGCAAGTCCGAATTGGACTAGGGAGGGGGCGGCGCGCCCCTCTTTCCTTCTCCCTCTCTCCCCCTCTTGGAAAAGGAAGGGGACTCCAATTAGGATTGGGAATCCTAGTTGGACTCCCCTATGGTGCGTGCCCCCCTTGGCCGGCCTCCTCCTCCCCCTCCTTTATATACGTGCGAAGGGGGCACCCCAAAGAAAAACAGACAATCTCTTCGCCGTGTGCGGTGCCCCCCTCCACAGTTCAACACCTCGGTCATATCGTCGTAGTGCTTAGGTGAAGCCCTGCGCTGGTAACTTCATCATCACCATCGCCACGCCGTCGTGCTGAAGGAACTCTCCCTCATCCTCAACTGGATCAAGAGCTCGAGGGACGTCATTGTGCTGAACGTGTGCTGAACACGGAGGTGTCGTATGTTCGGTACTTAGATCGGTTGGATCGCGAAGACGTTCGACTACATCAACCGCGTTACTAAACGCTTTTGCTTTCGGTCTACGAGGGTACGTGGACACACTCTTCCGTCTCGTTGCTATGCATCTCCTAGTTAGATCTTGCGTGATCGTAGGGAAATTTTTGAAATACTTCGTTTCCCAACACATTCATGTGTTGTATTGAGGAACACTTGTAAAACTCTATTATCTTCTTAATAAATAGGTGGCGCAAATCTTATGCCTATGTTTCAAAATAAAAAAGTCTTTCAGAGGAATGGGGGTTAACGCCGCAAAAGAAGAACAAAAATCCTCTCACTGTCATGAGCATTGACTGCTCTCAAATACTCTGGCCCAAACACTTTAATCACCATCTTTGCAAATTTCTTGATACACAAAATTGAAGTGATCTCTTCCATTGCCAATTTGTCATCAATAAAATCTGCACGATAACCATACGTCATCATGCACAATGCGGTGGTCACCTTCTGGATAGTGTTATGCCCAAAATCTCTGGCGCAATACCTCCTCTACTCGAAGAATCGACCATGTTGCTTAACACAGTGGGCAATGTGAAGAAATAAATCTGGAGACATCCTAAGGCTAGCCATAGTGGGAGTAACTTAGTTAGTAACATAACGTACCCCAAGACAAATATGCTTATATGGTAAGGAGTTAATGAGGAGAGAGGTGTTTGTGGTAACATAATATGTTGCCGTAACATAACACACCCAACACAAGATGAGTCTACAACTTAATAAATATAGGCTTGCATGAAACTACACTTATGTTACTATCCGCTATGAAAGTAGTAACATAGACTAGTAATGTATGCTTGTTACTAGTCTAAATTACTTTCCACTATGACTAGCCTAGACCGGTGTCGAAAGTATCGCTCTGCATGCACCAGATTTGGAACAAAATAGTTGAGCATCCATATCATATGCCCATCTCACCTCATGCTACGAATCACCTCACGGTCGAAAACAGAACAACCATGCTTCGACTTCTTGTTCTTTTGCATCATCAATATCAAAGCAATGTCCTCCTCTTTGTTTATGTCATATTCCTCTTCGGATGAGGAATCATCTCACAGAGAGGATTCATCAGACAAGCTCATCTACAATAAATTATTTTCATTACAAACTACTCCTATCTCGCAACAACAAAACTGAGAAAAAAAACTTACCCGAGCTTTTCCTCGAACACATAGTGTGCATGAAGCAGGATTACCCATGATTGCTCGTCGCAGCCGAGGTGGTCGCCGCATAGGGGTAGGAACTACGTTGGGATGGCCTCGTTGAGGCCGCGAAGGCCGAGGTTGCGGCAAAAGCCGATGTTGCCGCGTCGTCCAAGAGCTTCGAAGGAGCAGCGGCTCGGCTCGATCGCGGAGGTCCAGTGGTCAGCAGTGGTGCTACAGCGGCCACAAGCCGACCTCAACAACCAACACAGGCACTATTGCATCCATTACGGGTAGCGAAGGGGCGGTGATTGGCTGGAATCGACGGGGCCGCAAGGCTCTAGCGGCGGGGTCGGGCTGCCAAGTCGGGGCTTACC